AGTATTTAATATCATCAACATGAAGAATTTTCACTCCCCGGGGTAAAGCATTTGACAGGATACTATTTGAAGGGATGAATTCATGTTCCTTGATAGCTTTTTCAAGTGATAATTTGCCTCTGCTCATACATACTAGATCTGGAGTCTTGAATGAACTCCTATCACAGCTAGGATGAGGTGAAGTATTTCCTCCTGTATATGTTGATTTCGGACTTGGGACAGGAGAAATACACCCCAATGTCTGAGCATATTTCGCTTCCTTTTTATTTGAAATTAGGTAACATATCTTTGCTGAGAAATTTTTCAACTCTTCCTCCTAGTTCCTTGAGGTCCTTTTCCAGTCTTTCAGAGATCACAATAGATGGCAAATCAGGATAAAAGACTTTTTCCCAGAGTGGCTTATATTTAGACTTTCCTGATTTGTTATCACTTTTCACAGTTTTCAAAGATGGTCTATTTTTCTCATTTTTTATTTGGATACCACGTGGGTGATAGCCTTTGCTGCGGATCCTCATGGTGCCGGCTTTCATGGTCGCTGCCCACGGCCCACATGCTGGGGCCCGCTCCCTCAGGGACTGCTGCTGCTCCAGCATTTTTTTTTTAACACCTGCATTTGGGAGTCTGATCTGAGATGAGAGGGCTTAACAGAACAAAGAGGAGAGGGTCTCTGACCCAGGGGAGTTATAAGCATCATCAGGGAAGGGTTGACAAGAGGTTGCTATAAAGTACAAACCGTTTAACTATTTCTTTTTTCTTTCTTCACTCTGGGATTACTTCCAAACTAGCTGCCTTCTTTCATTTTCATAGAACAAAGAGGTTATTAATCTTGCCATTTACTTTTAAAACTTTTATAAAATCTTATCCTTATTTTCCCTTAAAACAAATTCTACAGAGTGGTACCCCAAAACTTACTAAGCTATTTCAGAAGGAAGTGAGTTCCTGGACCAGGAGTTCTCTTCTGCAATCTTAAAATGATGGTCAGAATCCAGAGAAACAAATCTCCAGTGGTGCCTAGTCTGTTCCCACTGGTACCAGAGAGTCCAATGGCCTGGTTCTATGTCCAATCCCACTTCTTACACCAATTAATGTCAACAGGACAGAATTGGCCTCTACCTTGTGGATGGCCAGAGCCAAACAGAGCAAGCTAGAGACAGGAGAGTCAAGAAACAAACAGAAGTTTAATTTCAAAGTGGGAAAAAATGGCTTGCAAGCAAGGACGCGTATGCTGGAGTTCCTCCCCTAGTGGCAGCTCCTGAGACAATGTGGCTGAACCTTGATTTATACACTTGCGGCAAGACAAAGAGTCAAACAGTGTGGTATAGCATCCCCATTTTATTTCTGTCCTCCAACTCACTCCCCAAGCTTCCATCACTGTTTTTTAGCATCCCCTTGAGCACAGGTGGACAAGACAATGTAGTATAGCAAAAGTAGCGAGGCACAATAGCAACAGTGAGGCAAGGTTGTCTAGTGTCAAAAAGTCCATTTATAGTGGGGCTTCATGTCTGGGCCTCTTGGTAGCTCAGGGACCATCAGTTCTAGAAGGTGAGCGCAAAGGATTGTTGTTATGACAGGCTCAGGGCACAGCTTGCTTGCTGGGCAAGCTCTGGAAAAAAGGGTGTCTCTTAATATCTTGAACTCTAAATCGATGATCCTTTGGTTTTAGCTTGAGGAATTAAAAGAGGAGTTGGAGATATAGGGCATAGAGAATATAAAGCTACATACAAATTAAATCAAAATGTAGAGGAGTCATACTGAGTCGGGAGAAGCGAATTTGTTGTAGGGTTCATGCTTCCAAAGTGATTTTCCTTAAGCATATATCTGACTGTGTCAGTCCCCTACTTAGTAAATTCCAGTAGTTCTCTACTGTCTCCAGGATAAAATATATATTCCTCTGTTCATTTAAGTTTACAATGTTTCTTTTTCTTTTCTTATTTTGTATTTAAGTTTTAGCATTTGTCTAAAATTAAAAAAAAAAACACAAATAAGGCCCTTTACAATCCTAATTGTCCCTAATCTATCTATCCAGCCTCATTTTCTATTACACCATCTTTCACATCCTGAAATCCAGCCAACTGTATTCCTCATACATGTCACTTGAATGCTGGTCACTGTGTTTTTGCATTAGCCCATACTCCATGCCCAGAATGCACCCCTTCCTTAACTGCTAAGAGAATCATCCTTCTTTTCCTTCTAGATGCAACTCAAGAACCACCTTTTATAAGACATCTTTCCTGATCCTCTCAACCAGTGCCTTCTTATTCAAACTACCTTGAAGTTAACTATTTTGTAATTATTTTTATTTTCTCTGTATTTATGCTGTATACTCATATGCATGTGTGCATGTATGAATATGCATGCATACACACAAATACACACATACGCATGCATGTTTGTTGTCTTCTTGTTTTAATGTATGTTCCTTGGGAGAAGGGATTGTTTCATTCTTTGTGTTTGTATTTCCAGAGCCTAGAACAGAGCCTGGTACATAGTAGGCACTCAATAAATGCTTATGAATTGATTGAATGATTAAGTATAATGGCTTCTGAAAGGAGACAAGATAGATTTTGGGGGAGGGTGATAAATGAAAACAGATTATTCTAGCAGAAGTATACAGGTGGTATTGGAGACAGGGAAAATGGAGACAGGGAAACCACTTGATATTAATGTAATCCAAGTAATCTAAACATTGGGTGACGAAGGGCCCTGAATACGGTAGTGATTGTGGGAATGTAAAGATGGGGCAGACCCAAAAGACAATAAAATGCTACAAGAACTGATTATTTGAATGTGAATTCATATCAATTAAGATATGAATGTGACAGACAATTAAGATAGAAGTTGTCTTTTTGATCCAGGGATCAATTTGGAACAGGGAAGGGATATGGAGAGATGACATTTTCATTGTTCAGACCACATTTGGAATGTCATATTCACCTAAGGGGGATACTGATGGACTGAGGTCTGTCTAGAGGATAAGGACAACCAGAAACCATGTCATAAAAGGCATGGGTTAAATAGGAACTGGTGATGTTCTTGTGGAACCAAGCAGAAAACAGGAACTCTGATGTTCTTTTGACTTCAGAACTATGATCATAGGATCATAGTTGTAAAGTGGAAAGAACATCAGAGTCCATCCTCAAACTTCTGATGGCTTCCTTTCTCCCTCCTCTCAGCTGAGAAACTTAAATTGAAGCCAGTTGCCCAAAGATCCCTTTTCTCTCTGCCCCTCTCCCTCCCTCTCTTATCACTCAGATGCTTTCCCATGATCTCTTTCTTCACCTATTTTACATGAACACTTGGCCCTTCTTCTTGCCAAAAACTGCTCTACATGCACAAGGACTCCATCCCACCTTCTCCAGCAGATTGGCCACTCTCTCAGCCCTTCTCTCTCACTTATCTGCATTCTTTCTCTGTCTACTGGCTGCTTCCTTACTGCTTGTAAACATGTCCCCAAGTCCCCACCCTTAAAAAACCATCACTTGACTCATGGATCCCATTAGCTACTGTCTTACATTGGACCAACCACTATCTTGGTTCAGGTCCTCTTCAACTAATCTCTCACCAGTACACTCCACGTTCCACTTAGCTACCAAAATGGTCTTCTTAAAGCCCAAGTCTGACTATGTCATATCCCTTCAATAAACCAGTTAAGTTCCCTATTACTTCCAAAATCAAATATAAAATCCTTTTTTAGGCTTTTTAAAGCCCTTCATAACCTGGTCTCTTCCTACCTTTCCAGCCTTCTTACACCTTACTCTCTTCTCTAAGTACTCTGCCATCCAGTGACGCTGGCTTCTGCTGTTTCTTGCAGGAAGCAAGAAGCTTGTGGCTCCTGGGCATTTTCCTGCCTGTTCTCCATGCTTGGAATGTTCTTCCTTCTTTTCTCAGGTTCCTGGCTTTCCTTATGGGTCAGCTCAAATCCTACCTCTTAGGAGAAGCCTTTTGTGGTCCCCCTCTACTCCAGTACCTTTTTTCTGAGATTACCTCCCATACCCCATATCTATCTATCATCTATCTATCTATATGTATATCTATATGTATATATCTCATACACACACACATACATATAGACATGTTGTCTTCCCCATTTGAATATGAGCTCCCTGAGGGAAGAGACTGTTTTTTGCTTTTCTTTGTATTCCCAGCACATAGCACACTGTCTAGGATGTAGTAATTGCTTAAAGTAGGAAAGACAGAGTAAAGTCAGGATCATGACCCATGTGTTCAAATATCTGAAGAGCTATGATATAGAAGAGGGATTTGACTTTTTTTTTTTTTTTTGCTTGGTTCCACAAGGCAAATTTGACTGATCAGTGGAATTTACAAAGCAGCAGATTAGGAAAAAGAAAGAACTTTCTAACAATTAGAGTTAGTCAGGTAAAGCATTTATTAAGCACCTACTATGTGCCAGGCACCGGGCTGTGCCAAGCCCTGGGGATGCAAAGAAAGGCAAAAGACAGTTCCTGCCTTCGAAGAGCTCACAGTCTAATGGGGGAGACATGAAAACAACTATGCACAAACAAGATAAATACAGAATAAATTCGCGATAATCCAAACAGAAATGGATTGCCTGTTGAAGCAGTGAGTTCTGTCACTGGAAGTGTCCAAGCAGAGAATGGATGAACCTCTTTCCAAGGGATTTCTGTGTAGGTGGGAGGCTGGGCTAGAGGACGTCGGAAGGTTCCTCCCTGTCCTAAGAAATCAGGTGGGGCAAAGCAGGTGCCTTTGAAAAACCAGTCTTTTCTCAGCCCCTCACACTGCGCAAGGGCATTGCTATGACAACGCTAAGCTCCAGCAAGCAGGTGTAGATGCCCTGGTCACGCCCGTGGTAGGTAAGGCGAGAGAGACGATTGGTGTTAGGGAGAATGACCTCGGGGAGGGGATAGGCGAAGGAAAGCATATCAGGAGGAGCGAGGCTGGACACCCATTCTTCTTCCCGACCTTGGTTTCGCCTCTTTTGCCGCTCTGCGTCTACTCTAGCTCAGTTGAGGAACGAGGGGTCCCCGAGTCCGAATCCTAATGCTAGAACTCTTGGCTGGGGAAGAGGCGGCGTAGAGAAGGACTGTCGGAGACAGTGGACCGAGCGAACCCGAATTCTAGAGCAGCTGGCGCGGGAAGCGGCAGCAGCGTCGAAAGGGACCTGCTTTGAGAAGGTAGGTTTGGAGTGTTCATGAGTCCGAAGCCGATGGTCTAAGAAAGGTAGAGGTAAGGAACCTGAGCGCCTTTGGTTAAGGTGGTTCAGGGAAGTTTCAACCCACATAATTTCTGGAGCGCATCACCCCAGGACACTCTGGGCTGGCTCTGAGTTGATTCCGTCCACGAGTCCAGGGTGTTGAAGTGGGGAGGAGTTGAGAGGGTCTCCAGCGAACACGGTGCTTCCGAACCGGACTGCAGGCGAGGGGGACGTGTCTCTGGCTTTAACTCTCAGGACTTGGGGACACTCGGGCTCCCCAAGAGCTCCCGCGTCCTCTGGGGGTGAGATTTGAGGCCCCTATACCCCCCCCCCGCCCCGAGTGTTCTTATACTTGGAAGGAGAGAAAGGCTTCCCCCCCTTTAAATAAAACTGTCTAGGGGCTAGCCGTTATAGGTAGGTGACCCTGTGTGTCTTAGTCTTGTTAATTAACCTTTTTTTGATGAGGAGTCACATTTCATGATTGACTGGTAATACGTCTACGGTCTCTGCATACTGGACAGCTCCTGCGTCACACAGGATAATTATGAAAATTTAATTGGATTTAAACCAGCTTCAAAGATTTTCAAACTAGAATTAAAACTAGGTGTTCTTTAAACAGCTTATTTATCCACAACTTAGCAATTCAACAAGTAATTTATTAAGCATCTAATAAATTAGCATTGGGGTAGCCTGCGTAGGTGGCACAGTAGATAGAATGCCAGGCCTAGAGTCAAGAAGACCTGAGTTCAAATCCAACATCAGACACTTACTAGAACCCTGGGCAAGTCACTTAACCCTGTTTGCCTCAGTCTCCTCCTCTGCAAAAATGAGCTGGAGAAGAAAAGAGCAAACCACTCCAGTAACTTTGCCAAGAAAACTCAGTAGGGTCAGGAAGAGTTGGACATAATTTTAAACAACTGAACAACATACACATATACAACACGACTGAAATGAAATGTCTGAGCAACAACAAAAAACAACATTAATGGCTGAAAGGATATGTTTATAGGACCTAGGAATTTGAGCAACATTTCTATTATGTCTGGACACTACTGGTATCAGAACAATCACTCTAATTTTCCAGAAGTTCCACTCTCTAATGAGACTTGGAACTCATAAAGGGAATCTTTAGCAATGTGAATGGAAAGGCTCAGGTGTTTGTTTTTCAAGCTTTCTGTTCTTTTCTTCTGTTTTATTATTTTGTAGGAGAGAAAATTCAATATTTGGGGAGTATGTATCAATCTTGATTGGAGTGTAAATGTTCTTCTGGATGCCTGGGACTGTATTGGTAAACGTTAATGGAATGACATACTGTATTAAGAAAAAACTTTTTAAACAGTCTGGGACATGGCAAAATTTTTCTAAAATATATATATCAATTTTTTGAAATGCACATGGAGCATTTCATTAATAAAAAATTAATAATAATAATTATTAATAAAGTATTAATGATTTGGAAGGATGAGAGCAACCAGAAAGCAGATTATGATTTTTTACATGTAGGAAGAAGGGGCTAAATGGAACTAGAGTTAGCTTTGAGACAAAGTTGGCTTGTATATCAGAGTTAATAGTGTTTCCCTGTCTCTGTGCAGCAAGTTGCCACCAGGAAAGTGTGATTTTTTTCTAATCTGAACCAAAAGATTTTACCTCATTTTTGTCATATCATTGCCATGTTAAAAGCCATAGAGTGCAAATTCCCTTTTAGCATTGTATATGGACTCAGATCAAATGCTTTGTATAGTTCAGTCTTTATTTGGTAGAAAGGCTAATAGTGGATGAAATGATTTGGGATTATGATTGCTGTATAAATTTTTGGTTGAAAGTATTTGTAGTCAATTATATTTATGAATAGGAAAGAATGATCTAAAAATCTGTGAAACAAGCTTTTCCATATGTAATTTGCTACTGCCAAAATCTTAGTATGGAAGATACTGAAGCTAGTCAGTAGCATGGCTAAAGTGATCATTTTCTTTTCTTTATATCACTACTAGCACTGATAAGTAAAATAGCTTATCTTATTAGATTAGTCATGAGATGGTTTAGTTATTTTATACATACAAATACAGTCTGAATAGTAATCTAAAACTTTTGTACTCAAGTATGCATATTTCAAGGGATGAGAAAATGTCTGTGTAGCATGCAGAGCACTATTTCTAGGATGTAGCAGTAAAAATATTCACATGCTCCCTAAACACATGAATCTTTTCATAAGCCCATCTGCTTATCTTTTCATTAAAGGAATAGTAATTGTCCTTTAAGCAAGCTTCCTTTGTTTGGTTAATTTTAAGAGGTAATATGTTCGAGACAGCATCCTCCTGTAGCATTTCTTATTGGGGAACGGATTTTTTGTGACTATCCAACATCTATTAACTCAGATAAGTGTTTGAATGAACTGACAAATTGGAAAAAAAAAATCTTTCAAGCCAAAAGATCTATTTAATCCCCTATGCGTAACTAATGTCTTCGAATTCCTCTTATAGTGACCCTATTACACTTTGATCTTTTTTTTGTGTGTGAGCATTTAGCATTTTATTATGAATCTACAGTCTCTTAAACACACCTAATAACTTCCTTTTTAGATTCTGGACACTGATTGAACAGATTAGCCTGGGCCAATAGTCAAATAAGTGTTCATTGAAAGTGTAATGCTTCTCATTACAGGGATACTTGAAAGAGGAAAATGACAGTTCGGTTGCTGAATGGAGTTTTCAGCCAGGTGCTACTGAAACCTGCTTGTGGGTGTACCACTCCCATTGTTCCCGTTCAGTTTCTGGGTATTTCACCTTTCCAAGTTCCATCTCGTGCGAACTTTCATTCTGTATCTTCTTCTGATACAGAGCATCCACGAGTACTAATTACAGGTTGGTTAGACCTTTGTTTCATTCTTGTTTTCAGGCATTTGTGTATTACTATATATTTATTTAATCTTCTCTCACATTCTCCATAGGGATACTGCACAGCATAGGTGAGATGCAGTGGATAGAGTGCTGGGCCTGGAGTCTGGAAGACTCATCTTCCTGAGTTCAAATCTGACCTCAGACACTTACTAGCTGTGTGACCCCCGGAGAAGTCACTTGGCCCTGTTTGCCCCAGTTTCCTCATCTGTAAAATGAGCTGGAGAAGGAAATGGCAAACCACTCTAGTATCTTTACCAAGAAAAGTCCAAATGGGGTCATGAAGAGTCAGACATGACTCAACAGCATTAACAAAACTAACACAGTCTTCACCCTTTACAAAACACTTAAATGTACATGGTCTCATTTGGTCTTCTTAAGCAACCTTATAAAGTAGACAAGGCAGGTCCCTCATTTTTTAGATGGGGAAACCTGAAATTAAGGGGAAATGATTTGTCCAGGGTCACACTGTTAGGAAAGGACCTAACTGGAACTTAAACCATAGCTCCTTTAACTCCCAAATTTAATGATCCTATTTCTATGCCATATTAGGCTACATTGAATTATGATGCTATTTATTCTAAGTTGAATTTAGCATAAAGAGGGTTTATTGTAGCTAATTCTCCATCCAAGAATAGTTAAGTACATAACTAAAGGACCTCATAATACAAAGAGTCATATATCCATCTAAGGTGTCAAATTACAATATTTTTTCATGAAATCATTAAGTCTTGTGGGTATTAAATACCTTTGTTTATTAATAATTAATATAAATCAGAAATAATATTTCCCCCAAATTTTGGTTATTTAAAAATAGTTATACAAATTAGAAAAGGACTTAGCTTTTCATTTTCATGTTGGGTTACCTTACTACATGGCAGCATAATGCTGCCTGTGTGACCTTAGGGCAAGGATTTAATTACTCTGGAGGACGAGGTGATTGAGATAAATTCTGAAGGAATCCACTAATTCCAAGATGCACATCTAGGTGTGGGGTGCAACCTCTGCAATAGCAAAGAAATGGGAAATAGAATGTTGTGTACAAGGAACAACAGGGAGGCCTCAGTATGGCTGGACCATAAATTACGTGGAGGTAAATAGAATGTAAGAAGATTGGAAAGGTAGGAAGGAGCCAAGTTGGGAAGAACTTTAAAGGCAGACTACAGAAGGACTTTCCATTTGATCCTGGAGGTGATAGAGAACCACTCAAGTTTACTGAGTGGGAGAGAGGGGTTAATAATCTATTATAATTCTCTCCAAAAAAGGTCTGGGCAGCTAGGTGGTACAGTGGGTAGAGAGGCTGAGCCTGAAGTCAGAAAGACTCATCTTCCCCAGTTCCTGCCTAAGACACTTAGCAGCTGTGTGACCCTGGGAAAGTCATTTAACCCTGTTTACCTCAGTTCCTCTTCTGTAAAATGGTCTGGAGAAAGGAAATGGCAAACTACTTTGTTTCGGATATTTTGAGTTTGAGATGCCTGCAGGACATTCCATTTGAAGTGTCTAATAGGCTGTTGATAATGGGGACCCTGGGGCTGGATAAATAGATCTGGGAATCATTTTCACAGAGATGATAATTAAGCAGGTGAGAGAAAGTAGAGAAAAGATAAAAGGGCCCTGGAGTGACTCTTGGGGCATACCATAATGATCTAGTAAAAGAGACTGAGAAGGAATGGTCGGATAGATAGGAGGAGAGCCTGGAGAGAGCAGCAGTGTCTCCTGGAGAAGAGAGAGTATCCAAGAGAAGAGGGTGATAACAGTCAGAGACGGCAGAGAGGTCAGAAAGGATAAGGACTCAGAAACAGCCATTAGATTTGACAGCTTAAGAGGTCATTTGTAGCTTTTCAGAGAGCAGTTTGTTAAATGATGAGATTGGTGGATCCAGAAGACAAGGGCAATTGCATTTCTCTCCAACCACCACGCCTGTTTCCAGTGGGCAGACAAGTCTAAAACCCTAAGGAATAGCAGTGCTCCTCAGACCACCAACCCTGCTGTTAGCTTAGCCCAGGGGAGCAGCCCTTGTAGAGATGTGACTTGTCAACTGACATTTCAAACTAAAAGTCCAGTAGGAATCTCAAACTCAAAAAGTCCAAAACAAAGTTCATTATCTTGTATTCCACTCAGTTTGCCCCAACTGGTTTCCACTCCCTGGAACCCTTCCAGGTTAAGCTCATCATACTCCTCACTTCCATAAAATCCATAGCTTCCTTCAGAGCATAACTCCAGTGTCACCTCCAGACCTTTCCAGATCCCCGCCCCCCCCCCCCAAGCCATTGGCCAGTTTCCTTCACAAAACAGATGAATATATACCTCACCACCACCACCCCCCCAGGAGAATGCAAGCTTTCTGAAAGCAATTAGAACTTCTTAACAACTAGACCTAATCCAAAGTGTAACGGGCTACTTTAGTAGTAATGAATAATAATAATAACAACAGCATTTATATAGCACCTACTTTGTGTCAGGAACAGTGCTAAGCTGTTTACAAATATCTCTTTGAGCCTCACAGTAGCCCTTCGAGGTAGGTGCTATTAGGATCCCCATTTTATAGCTGAATTGTTAAAGTAAATCTGCCTGACCTATGGCAACTTCTGAATGGAATTATTAAGGAATAATAGATATTTTAACATCCCATGACCCTTTACAAAAATATGCTAGGGCATAAAGGAAGCATAAGTAAATGTTAAAAGGCAGATATAATAAACACATCCTTTATGGACCATAGGGAAATAAAAATGGGAGCAATGCTTGCTCAGTTAAATGATCTTTCTTTTTTATTTTATGAATGCAAATTTTCAGAGATATAATATCATAGAAACCATATGTGATTATTTGAATTATAATAATGAAACAACATACCAAAATTTATGGGACACAGTTAAAATAGTCCTCAAGGAAAATTGAAAAATTGTATTGGTAAAATAATTGAGAGATTCATTCAATTAAGAAGAATAGACATTAAACAAAATATCCTTAAAATAAAAATCCTGAAAATCAGAGAAAGAGAAAAACTTGAAAAGAAAGAGTATAGAACTGTTAAACAAAATTGGGCTGTTATTGAAAGTCTGAAAAACAATTAAAAAACCAAGCCAAGACCTTTGCCCTTTACCCCAAAAAGAATTTGGGTCGCATTTGTCTAAGGGATTCTCCTTGAATTCTCCCTTGACCAAGGAGATCTCTGGCATTCCCCTGAGGCTATGGTCCCATCAACTGGCCTTTTGTTATCTCCTACCCCCAATCTGCCAATTCTTTTACCTTCATATGGCCCCTGGCTACTTCCCACCCTTGACCCTATCTAGACCCCATTCTCCCAGTGACCTCCCAATCACTCCCATCAAGAAGTGATGAAAGCCTGCAGTAAGCTAGTAGCAGTGTGAATAGAGAAAATGAGACAGATTTGAGAAGTATTATAGAACTAGAAAAAGGCAGTATTTAGCAACTAATTAGGTATATGGGCATAATATCCATAATGAGCCAGCAATAGAGACTGAGATGGAGTAGTAAGACAGGTAGGAGAACCACAAAAAAAAAGTAGTGTCAAAAATCCAGAGGAGACAAAAGGTGGCAAAGATACTGGAGTGGTTTGCCATCTTCTCCAGCTTATTTTACAGATGAGCAAACTGAAGCTAACAGGGTTAGGTGACTTGCCCAGGGTCACACAGCTAGTAAGTGTCTGAGGTCAGATTTGAACTCAGAAAGATGAGTCTTCCTGGCCCCAGACCTGGCACTGTATCCACTGTACCACCTAGCTGCTCTGCATTTATGATACTAAGCATTTAATAAATGCTTGGTAATTGATTTTCTACTTTTTCTGACATCCTATTTTACTTTTTCTCCCCTGCTCCTTAATTGAATGCGTCACCTGAAGGTTTGGTCTTTGCTCTTTTGCCTTTCTACACACTGTATCTACTTTGTAGATAAAGTTGGTAACTTTGGCTACCAACTTATAACTGGAAGGAACCTTAGAAGTCATCTAACATAACTCCCTCATTTTACAATCGACGAAAATGGGGCCTAGAAAGATGAAATAACTTGCCTAGGTTTATGCATCAGTTAAAAATGGCTGATCTGGCATTAGAACCTACATCTTTTGACTCTTAAATACTCTTTCTGGTAGAACAATTTAAATGTGTTTCTAAGATATATACTTTGTTCCATTGTCATATTTCCAAATGCTTATAAGGAATCTCACCTTGGACATTGTCGATTCAAAGTCGGTGTCTCAAAAATCAAACTTACCATCTTCCCATGCCAAAATACTTTCCCTCTGGCCAACTTCCTTCTTTTGGTCGTTGATATTGTTGTTTTGTTCTTCCATTTAACTGTGGTTGGTATCTTAGACTTTTTGAGTCTTCCTTTTAAACTCTCAGCCCACTCAATCACCTGTTAATTCTTCCTTCAAATACTCAGTTTTATTCTTTCTCTTTTTCCATTTCTTCCATCCTACCAAAGTACTTTCCTCCCACCAATCCTATGAGGGAGATAGTAAAAGTAGTAGTATTTTCATTTTATAGAGAAGAGAAGCTTACATAGCTTGTGGTCTAATAAGTATTGAATGCAGAATTCAAACCCAGTTCTCCTTACTCCATGTATTTCACTACTAGCTTCTTTCCCATGATGGTAAAGAGTCTTATAGTGGGGAAAATTACAAAATAGTTAATATTTAACTTTAGGATGTGGATTTTCTTGAACTTACATTTGAATGTACATTGACCTAAAATAAAAAAAAATTAATTAAAAAAAATTTTAAAAAGGGGGCAGCTAGGTGGCACAGTGGATAGAGCACCTGCCCTGAAGTCAGGAGGACCTGAATTCAAATCCAGCCTCAGACCAAACACTTGATACTTACTAGCTGTGTGACCCTGGGCAAGTCACTTAACCCCAATTGCCTAAAAAAAAAAAAATGAATGTATGTTGGGTAATGCTCTGGAAATTCATAGCACTTTAAAACAATGAAGTCACTTTGAACGGGCATGAGATTCTAGGAGATTGTTGAGTTTTCTGTTTTACCACCCATATCTCCCTGCTTTCCCATTCCATAAAGGGAGAGTATTTCAGAATTTAGAGTAGTTCCCTAAGCTTACTTTTGTAGTCCATATTTATTCTGGATTGGAGGAGATAAATGTTTTAAATATTGACTCTCAAGTAGAAAGTGAATTGTGTCAACTTAGAACTGTGTCTAATCTGCCTAATTGCGGGCCATACTGAACTTGGGTTTGGAATCTTGAATACCTGGGTTTAAATCCCAACTCTAATACTTGTGTGGTCTTGAGTTACTCTCTAAGCCCCACTTTCTTCAACTGTTAAATGGGAATAATAATATTAACTGTACTACCTTTCTGATATGGTAGATGTCAAGCTTAAAAGAAATAATGTTAAGTGTTTGGCAAACTTGAAAATGAAGTCTGGGTTTTAATACATTAACATGAGCAAAACATTCTGAAGGTAGATATTTCACATGAGGGTAATTAAAAGTTGATTGAATTTGAATTTAATTCTCAATACTCTTTTCCTCCTTCATTTCAGGGGGTCTTGGACAACTTGGAGTGGGACTTGCTAAACTTTTGAGGTAAAGAAACCTAAGAAATTAACTTGGGCTAGATAACATTTTTTTTCTCTTGTCTATTTTTCTAGATAAATTGATATTGGTACTTTAGTTTGCTTTATCTAAATTGAAGGAAAGAGAAGGAAAGTGAAGAAAATGTAGAAATGGAAAAAGCAATGAAAAAAGAGGAAATGTATTATTTGGGATGGAATTGGATAATTATGTGTGGTGGGAGAAATTAATATTATTTTATTAACAACTAATTATTAATTTGTGATCCACCCTTTCCCCCCTATTTCTGTTAAGACCCAACTCTTGAAAAGATCAGTCTGTCTCTGAAGGGCATGGCAGAGTGATAAGGTTACTCCTAGCCCCTAGGGACCTCACCCAACAGGAAACCTTGTTCTGTTTTGCTGGCTGAGCCTTTGCCTAGGGGAGGAACTCTGTGTCCTTGATCCCTTCCACTAGAATTAAGGGCAACCCCAAACTCAAGAAGGAGAAAAGTAGTCAGGGAGGTTCAGATGGAAATGGCTTCTCCTGCCCAGATGCCTGGAGGCTGCTGAGTCTCGTGGCCGGTGAGGAGCTGAAGACTTTTAGCCTCTCTCCTTAAATGTCCACCTATCTGGGTTGAGTTTCATTTGTCCAGGGATTTCTCTGTCAGAAGGCACACAACTGATTTAAGGTGATTCAAGATCCTTTCTTGGTGTCAGTCTTCTGTTACAGAGGGAAACCACTGACCATCAATTTATTGATTATGGGTTTACCTAATTAACAAATTGGTTACTCATTACCTAGAAACTCTGTCTCTTGGGAGTTTTATTCATCATAGTGAGAATGGAGCATTTTGGATGAAGGAGGTCATTAGGTAGCAGAGTAGACAGTGATGGACTTCAAGTCAGGAAGATCCAAGTTCAGGTCCCTCCTGACCCTTAGTTATGCGACCTTGGGCATTAACCCCCTAAGCCTCAGTTTCTCCATTATTAAAACAGGAATAATAACTGAATCTTCCTTAGTTTTTATGAGGGTTAAATGAGATATGAAAGTGCTTAATCTTAAAGCACTATATAAATGCTAGCTACTATTAATAAAGATGGTTTAGAAGGGAGACATCAGGATTCTCCTAAAATAAATAGTTCTAATTTTTTTTTGTTTATTTTTGGTTAGGCAATGGGGTTAAGTGACTTGCCCAGGGTCACACAGCTAGTGTTATGAGTCTGAGGCCAGATTTGAACTCAGGTCCTCCTGAATCCAGGGCCGGTACTCTATCCACTGTGCCACCTAGCTGCCCCCATAGTTCTTATTAAAATGAATGTATTACCTCGGTTCAAATCTGGCCTCGATACTTACTAGCTTTGGGACCCTGGGCAAATCACTTAACCTTGATTGCCTCCAAAATAAATAAATAAATAAAATGAATGTATTTGAACAGTGATGTAACAAAGTATATTAGGTAATCAATCAACAAGCATTCCTTAAGTGAATAAAAAAATCCTTATTCTCAAGAATCTTGCATTCTGTTGGGGAATATATTATGTACCTATAGAAGGATATAAATAACAAAATAATTACAAGGTGGCTTAAAAGGCTGATAGTGAGAGAGGATGTTCTAGCAATTGGGATCAGGAAAGACTTGGTGTAGTAATGATGTTTGAGTTGTGTCTTGAGGGAAGGCAAGAATTCTGTGACCCAGAGGTGAAGAAAGCATGAATTTCAGGGAAGGGGGCTGTATCATTGAGCACAGGGAGGGAAGTATTACCTAGTGAGGCTGGAAAGATAGATGTGGGCCAGGTTATTGTTTGTTTGTTTGTTTTTTCAATCATTTCAGTCACATCCAACTCTTCATGACCCCATTTGGGGTTTTCTTGGCAAAGATACTGGAGTGGTTTGGCTTTTCCTTCTCCAGCCTGTTTACAGATGAGGTAACTGAGGCAAACAGGGTTAAGTGGCTTGCCCAGAGTCACACATCAAGGAAGTATCTGAGGCCAGAGTTGGACTCTGGTCTTCCTGACTTCCAGACCTGGCACTCTATCCACTGCCCTACCAAGCTGCCCCAGGTTATAAATGGCTTTAAAATTTCTTCCCTTCTCCCCCCCCCCAAAAAAAATTTATATTTTATTCTAAAGGCAATCAGAAGCTACTGAAGTTAGTTGAGAAGGGGAATGACATGGTCAGATTTTGTGTTTAAGAAAGGTGATTTTAGCTGCAGTATGGCAGATGCACTGGAATGGTGAAAACTTAAGACAGGGAGACAAACTAGGAGAGTTGTAGTCAAAAGGCATGAAGTGATGAAAACCTGCACTAAGGTAGTAGCAGTGTGAATAGAGAAAATGGGACAGATTGGAAAAATATTATAGAACTAGAAAAAGGCAGTATTTAGCAACTAAGTAGGTACATGGGCATAATATCTATGATGAGCCAGCAACAGAGACTGAGATGGAGTAGTAAGACAGGTAGGAGAACCAGAAAAAAAGGTAATGTCACAAATCCAAAGAGGAGAGAATATCCAGAGGGAAAAGGTGGCAAGCAGTGTCAAATACAGTCTATAGGTCTAGAAGAAAGAAGACTAAGAAAACACCATTAGATCTAGTAATTAATAGATAGTTGGTAACTTTGGAGAGAGCAGTATCATTTGAGTAATGTGATCGGCAGTCAGATTACAAAGGGTTGAGGAATGAATGGTTGGAGAAGAAGTAGAGATACCAAGTGTAGATAGCTTTTTGAAGGAAAGAGGGGAGATATAGGAAGAGAGCTTGAAAGAATAGTGGAGACTAGCAAATGTGTTTGAAGGATGGGAGAGCCAGGGTATGTTTGAAGGTGATGGGGAAAGGCAGAAATGGAAAGACAATGATTGAGGGGGACAGTGTTGGAAAAGATAGGAGGTGTGATCAAGCGCACATGTAGAAGGGTTGGCCTTGGACAAGGAGAAAGGCTTCTTGCCTACCAAGGAGGTTTTAGATAAAATGGAGAGAGAAGGCAAAGCTCATAGTGAATTGCCTTAATTCTCTCAGTAAAATTAGACAAGGTTCTCAGCTAAGTTGATGGGAGGAGGGAGTAGCTTGAGGAAAGATTTGTATTATCTTTTGTGAGTTAGATGGGAAGTCACTTAGGGAATAATTAAAAAAAATGATTTTGCTGCAGTGAGGATCCAGTTGGGTAACAAATTTATAATATACCCAGTAAGTGCAATTAGGTGGCTTCTTCCAGCTCCATTCAGTAGCATCTGAGTAGGAACAGTAGAGGCAGATGGTGTGAGTAATCCAAGGTTGTGGTTTGACAGTGAATAAAGGGCAATAGGGTAAAGGGGGAAGGGATTCCAGAGTAGAAGACAGTAGAGTTGAATTGGTTAACTATAGGATTGAGATTGGGAAAGAAAATTGGTGAATTCAGAGCAGGGTAATGGTTTCAGAGAATGTCCTGAGGGATTTGGAATTAGAAGTTGAACTGGGTAAAGAATAGATTTAGGAGGAGTGGCGAATTGGAGAAATAACAATAGGAACTAGTGGGGAGAGAGGAATGTCAGTTTTGATTAAGAAGGAGAACATTTGTGAGTAACTGGCAATGAATATTCCTAAGGTGACATGTAGGTTTTGGTAATGGATTTGAGTAAATTGAGGTTAGGGAATGTAAAAGCATTTTCATGAAAATTGAAATCCTCCAGTATAAGGAGTTGTGGAGAAGTAGGAGACAATGGAGTCAAGTGCTGAACTTCTTGAAAAAGGAGAGAGAATGACCAGTGGGCTGGTATATATAATAGCCACTGTGATCATATGGCATGGCCAGCACTGTGGTGTGTGGAGTTCTCTGTGGGAAGCCAGTCCTCAGTGAGTTACAAGTAGATGTGAGTGTGAGAGGAAGAGATCCAAAATAATGGGAGATTTGTTCAGGGAGCCCCAGAGGCACAATGGGAAAGTGTATAGGGTTGGAGTGGGACATGGATAGGGTCAAGATGATGAAGAGGGAGAGAACAAAAAAGTAGGGGGCTGAGGATTAGTTTGCTCCTTCTACTTAGCCAGTGATTAAGTTATGCAGAGGAGGGCAGAATAGTAGGAAGTTGTAGTTTGCTAGCGTATGGTAGATGAACTGTAATGCTCACAGTGCTAACTAATTGATTTACCTTTTAGAAACCGATTTGGAAAGGACAATGTGATCTTGTCTGACATTAGGAAACCTTCTGACCATGTTTTCTACAGTGGTAAGAGACTTGGGAAACCTATTTTGGAGGGGTAGGGGGAAAAGAGGAGCTATTTGGCTGTTTGTTTCTCATGTTAAGCGGTTAAGCATACTATAGAGCTTTGTAATAAATGTTATTATATATAGTATATAGCATTTACTATGTTGTTTTATATAGTAATAGTATATAGTATAGTGTGGTAATAATATAGTAACATTGGGTAACCTTAAAGTTAGTTTTAAGAATGAATGGGTCTGGGGAATTTGACACATTTTTGTCCTATGTTCCATGAAATCCTATTATTACTACTGCTGCTTCTTCACGTGGTACAAGAGCCGGACAGTTCTTTTTAATTTGGCTGATGTCTGATCACCATAAAGTTTTTAAGATTAAAGTCTATTGGATTTTATGCTCTTTGATTCCTGTAATTAATTATATTAAAATTATCTCATAGTATCTGAGTTAGTAAAAATAAAGGCAAAAAAGGAAATAGTTTCTATAACAATGGCAGAAGAAATAAAAAGCTCAGAGGAGTAGTTAATCTCCTTGTTCTAGACAGGATGGTTCCTAAACTGTGCAACATAAACTTTTGTCCGATTGGTGTTAAAATTTCTGAGGAAAAGCTACACCAGATCTTCCCTTCTCTAACAACCGCATTCTTGAGCTTCACAGAAGTTTTTATGTATTTTACTACCTGAATCTTCTCTACTTTTATGTAAATTCATTGTTTTTTATTCTGTGAAAATAAAGATTTAACAGTCCATGAACTAAGTACCTGTTTAGATTCTTTGACCTTACTTTTTTCTTTTGAAAAAATAATCTTAGTTTTTTGGATATCTTTTGTTTTCACATTACTCATATTTCCAAATATGTTTTTCCTTCTCCTTTGCTACCCAGGGACCATTCCTTGTAATAAAGATTAAGAAAGTAAGTGAATATAAAAAAAAAAGATAAAAATCAACCAAAAGATCAATATTCCACATTCCTAGTCTCCCATTTTTGCCAAAAGAGAAGGGAGATGCACTTCTCCACTTGGGGACCAAGCTTATCAACCTTAAATTTTTAAAAGGCTTTACATGTCAGAGTGATGTGGCTTATGAATGACTGTTCACTCTAGTTAATATATTCTGCATTCAAGTATATAATCTTCTCCTGCTGTGTATTTTTTTTCCTCAGAGTTTCAGCATTTGAAATAGGCCTTTGGACTGAGATACTTTAAATATATTTCTATTTTTTTCCTTTTTAATTCAATTTTATTAAACACTCATATTACATACTATATGTTGAGTACTTCTAAGTTCTGGGGAAGATACAAATGGTCATGGCTTACAACTGGGTACAGAAATATGACAAATTATCACAATAAAAATACAGTATATAAATTCATTAGAGAAATGCAAATAAAGTGTTGTGTGAAATAGGGGGAAAAAAATGAAGGGATGCTGTGGAAGTGGGAAGATGTATTAGGAGTCTGTTGCAAACGTCCAGGCGGTAATAGCTCCCTTTAATAGAATGGTGGCACAGAGAGGCGGGGATGCACACAGACAATACTTCAGGGGTAGAGTTGATAGTCAGTAGATGTTTATTGAATTGAACTAACAGGACTTGGATATGAGAAGTAAGCAAAAGGGGAAGAGTTGAGTAAAATATCAAGACTTTGAACTTGGGCAACTGGGTAAAGTGGTGTTTCTGACATAAATAGAAAAGTCAGGAGAATGGATGAGCAAGGTTTTTAGGGAAAGATATGTTAAGTTTTTTGAGGGGTCTTTGGGACATCAGAATGAAGTACTATGTAGATAGCCAAAGTGTGATTGTGGAGCTGGAAAGAGAGGTCTAGGCTAAAGATAAGAAGTTTGGGATTCATATGCATAAAGGTGGTGGTTGAAATTTCTTGGGAGTGAATGAGATTGTCAAAGGAAACAATATAGATAAGAAAAGAGAGATGGGGGCAGCCAGGTGGAACAGTGAATAGAATATCGGCTCTGAAGTCAGAAGGACCTGAGTTCAAATCTGGCCTCAGACCAAACACTTGACACTTACTAGCTGTGTGACCCTAAGCAAGTCACTTAACCTCAATTGCCTAAAAATTAAAAAAAAAAAAAGAGGAAAGAAAAGAGATGAGGACAATTGGAAAGTGCCTATCTTAAGTGGTTGGGGAGACTCTTTAGTGACTATTCAGTCATTAAGTGAAGGAGACAGAAAGTAGAAGATCCATGAAAGAAGAAATAAGAGAGGAAAGACTATCCAGAAAAGGGGGAGGAGGGAGCCAGCCATTTTAGATGCTATGAAGAAGTCAAGCAGAAGACTAAAAGAAAACCCATTTATTTGTTTTACAGTCATTGGGAACTTCAGTTAAATGGTGGGGAGGAAAGCCAGATTTCAAGGGGTTTAAGTGAATGAATGGTGAAGAAGTAAACAAAACAGATGTAGACCAGTTTTTCAAGAAGTTTATCAGTGAAAGGGAAACAAGAGATGGGATTGTACCTGAATGGCATAGAAGAGTTAAGGTGGAAGGTTTTTTTTTAAGGGTTGGGGAGACCTAAGCATGTTAGCAGGAAGATGGGAAGAAGCCAGTGGAGGAGAGATTGAATATGACTGAGGAAGAGTGAATAATTGTTGGAGCAAAGTCCGGTAAAAGGTTGGAGGCATCAAATCACAGGGTTTAGGGAGTAAGGATACCTATGAAAAAAAGTGAAAGAAAAGAGAATGGATGCTGCTGCTGAGAAGTTTGAAAGAAGCAGAGAAAGGCAACTGAAGAAGCTCAACCGAATGAGGTCACTATTTTAGATAGCAGAATAAATAGTAATTGTAAGGAAGTAGCCTTTTATTCATCTCCCACCTTTTTTTTTTATATTAAAATTTTTTTTCCATCAACACAAATCTACTTTCTCTCCCTTCCTCCTCCTCCCCCAGTTTGAGAAAGAAAATCACCCCTGCTATAAACATCTTGCATTGTTAACAATGAGCTACTTGATAATTGTTTTAGTAAACTACTTATGGTTATGAGTTAATACATAACTAACAAGTAACTAGTCCTGGAAACGTGTAGGGTGTGAGAGGGTTCCCAATAAAAACAAAAGGCAGAAAAGGGCAAGATGTGTGCTTGGGTATTTTTTATATTTGTGATTCAGTCATGACATTCTAATTCTCCCTCCATTGTAGGGCCATTTATTTATTCTGATATCTTGGATTATAAGAACCTTCGGGAAATAGTGGTAAACAATCGAATCACATGGCTCATTCACTATAGTGCCCTTCTAAGTGCTGTTGGAGAAGCGAATGTACCACTGGCAAGAGATGTAAATATTACTGGTAAGCTTGCTTGGGTTTTGTCCAATATGATTGACCATTTTTCCAAGTTCTTTGATCAGATGAGGTTTCTTTAGATCCTGATAAATATTGTTTGTTTCAGGTTTGCACAACATTCTGGACACTGCCACAGAGCACAACCTGCGACTCTTTGTGCCTAGTACTATCGGTGCTTTTGGGCCTTCTTCCCCTCGGAACCCAACCCCTGATCTCTGTATTCAGAGACCTAGAACTATCTATGGAGTGTCCAAGGTTCATGCAGAGCTCATAGGAGAAGTAAGCATTGCCCCTCACAAATATGGGTAGAACACTTGGGAGCTCTTTCTTATTGTTTTTGCTTATGTTTGAAATTGTTCCATTGTAACCCTATTCCAGTGTTTCATACTAATTTGGAGGTGACTTTGGTTCCTTGAAAGGTACACTAGCTGTATGCTTTTGGCAATCTGGAAAGGCTTCAGGTATGTCTGTTGTCCAAGGACTAATATAGCTAAGTTCAGAGGTGTCATCACTGAGTAATTTGATGAAGTCAGGTGATTTTTTTTTTGAGGGATCATAGCAATCCTTGAAGATTATTTACTAAATTTTAGTGAGGTTGTGATTTGTGTTGGTGGAGGAAATACCCACACTGGTGAAATAAATCATAGAACCTTAAGTACTAAAGTTTTTTGAATAGCTAATGATTCATATTTAGGGAAAATAACAACAAAATATTAACATTAGCTAAGCTTTTGTGTAGACGCAAATGTGTAGATTCAGTACAGGCCTCTTGGATAGTCTCTTTATCTCATCTATTCCACAGATCTGTTTTACTATTTTTCAAGAAATATCAAATAATTTTCTTTAGAGCACATTTGATACCATATATTAGTATCAGGATTTTAGAGTTCAGAGACCTTAGAGGTAGATGATCTTAGAGGTCATTTAGTCTAACATTCTCATTTTATGTATGAAGAAAATGAGCTTCAGATTCTGAAATACTCTTGACACATCTCATATCTGCAACCTTTCCTTTTCAATATTCCTTCAGTTCATGGTAATAAATTATAAGGCTTCAGGAAGATCAGTACTATTCCTTCCCCAAAAAGTTATGGATTCCTACCATAAATCTTTTTTTCCTTTTTGGGGTGCTTGCAGAAAGACAAACTTTTGCTATTTTATTTCCCATAGAAATTATGATTCTTTGATTACAAGAAGACGTAATGTAAAGGTAGACTGCTTTAACTTCAGTATTTATCATTAAAAAAAAGCTTAAGTCTTTAGAGAGTTCTAACTGCTCTCACATACATTTTTCTTAGGAATTTGAGGCAACATTTTGATATGTAAAGAACAGAAAAAAAGGAAGATTGTATATGAAACAACTTTTATTTAGAACATTTTTAAAGATAATATTATAGAATCTTATGTATCATCTTGGGAAAAGTAAGTTATTTCTTTGTCACCTTTCTCAGAAAGATTTTAGTTTTTAAAATTCTTATGTCTCTTTTTTAGTATTATCATTACCGGTATGGCTTAGACTTTCGGTGCCTGAGGTATCCTGGAATCATTTCTGCTGACTCCCAGCCTGGTAGAGGAACAACTGGTAAGTGTTTGCCTCTGTTTCTTAGTGTCCAAAACAGATTTTTTTTAAAAAAAAAATTTTTTTAGGCTTGCCTGGAGTCACACAGCTAGTAAGTGTCAAGTGTTTGGTCTGAGACCAGATTTGAACTCAGGTCCTCCTGATTTTAGGGCTGGTGCTCTATCCACTGCGCCATCTAAAACAGATTTTTAAAAAAAGATCAGAGTTTTCATGGAGAACGTAGGACTCTTCATCTCTCTATAAGATAGAGTGCATTTTATTTTGTTTTCATATAATAGCTGCTTCCCTGTAAGCAATGTCCTGCTTCACTTTTTTCCTTTCACTTAAACGGTTAAGCAGAAGCGTCTAATATGACAATGCACATAACTTTGCACGTTTGTAGTTTTCCATGCCTTAGTAGAAAGGAATTATGTTTTAACCACAAGTCATGTGGAGCCAACATTAGTCCTGGGTTTTACTGTCATTTAATGTTGACTTAATTTATATTATAGCTATCATTCTGTATATTCCTTAGGTTCTTTGCTCTACATAAGTTCGATGAAGTTTCATATTTCTCAGAATTCTTCTTGTTGTTATTCCTTACAGAGCAGTAATATACCATTATAGTCATATACTCTAGTTTGCTGAGCTACTTACTAGTTGATAGAAAAATGTTCACAGTTCCCCCAGTAATGTTATTGTATTAACATACCAGTCTTGTTATCTTCAGTACAATTGGATAGTAATAAGCTGGTATTTCAATGTTATTTTAATTTGTATTTCATTTAGTGATTTTTTTAGTGACATGAATGTACAATCACAATGATCTATTTTGCATTTATAATTTTCTCCATCCTTTTTATTGAATTTTTATTGTCAACAGAGTTGTGAAAGGTAATAATACTTTTCTAGTTTCCTCTAATTTGTTATGGTATGACCTTCATTTCTTTTGGGATTTATTGTGGTTTGTAATGTAAAATGTCGGTCTAAATCTATTTTCTGCTTTTTTAAAAGAAATAGTAATTTTTGTTCTTGGGTTTATTGAACCCTCTGTATAGGCTTGTTGTATTCTAGGCCCTCCTTTTTAGTCTATTCCACCGATCTTCATTATTTTTCAAGCAGTACCAAATTATTTTCATCAGAGTACATCTTCCTTTTTTTCCCCCGCATCTGTCATCCCCTAGGAAAAGTACTTGGCATGAGACTCTGATGGAACTCATCTAGCATAAACCTGTTAGTAACTGTAGTGCCTGGCAAATTCTGCCCATATCTCCAGTGATCCACACTTGTTGAAAGCTTTTGGGACCTGGTGGTGGTGTGTAAGACATTGTTGGATCTCTACTATTCTTTGAATGTAGCCCATTATTATGCTTATTCACATAAACATACTGCATTACAATTGGCTTTGCATAATATTTCAGGGAGTTCATTTATGAAGAGTTTTGTTTTTATGTACTTGATTTAACTATTAAATAATGGGTATGATCAGACTCCCATTTCAGGAATCCTGGTAGTATATTCAGTAAGTTGTTCTGTGAGTGATTTAAAGTAGGTTTTAATTTTAATGCTTAAATGATAGCATTACCTTTTTTAGAAGGTAAAGTTCCCATTATCTCCCAAAACAAAAATCAACTTATGTGACTCTCTTAGATTATGCCGTTCATATTTTCCATAATGCTATGAAAAGTGGCAAGTTTCAATGTTACCTGAAACCAGACACTCGACTCCCCATGATGTACATTGACGATTGCCTTAGAGCTACACTGGAAATCATGGAAGCTCCTGCAGATTCTCTCCCCATGAGGACTTACAACATCGGTGCCATGAGTTTTACCCCTGAAGAGCTGGCACAGGAGATTGTCAAGCATGTACCTGAGTTCCAGGTCACATACAATGTAGATACAGTTCTCCAGGCCATAGGTGAGTACGCTGCTGTAACTACCTAAAATATGTCTGCCCATATCTCACATGGAGCTCGGGTGGGTTTAGGTGGTACAGATAAGTTTAAGTTAGTGGACAGCTGTAGAAATTGGTGTTCTTCCTCTCAAGATCATTGTAGCTAGTCCCTAGAGATATACTGATGGATGATGATAACCAGCTGTCTAGTAGAACCTGTTAAAGACAACAGCTGTGGTATTTCTCCCTAAAGTTTTATAACATAAGGTAGGTAAAATGATGAAAAAAGTTGAGGCTAAAATTATATATTCTTTGTAGTGCTATTTCAGGCAACTAGTTTGTATTTTACTACTTCCGAGGGCTGGTTATTTTTTAATTAAATTGTACGTAAAACAAATAGAAATGTTTCATGTTTTGAGTTGCCATTCTAAGCGGTGTTAGGAGGAATGGCTAACATTGGGTGGCAGAGTCATAATCCAAATACAATGGTAGGTGAGAACATTAGGATAAAGATAATAAGAGGAAATTCAATACTATATATACACACATATACATACATATATGCATATACACACACATACATGTGTGTGTGGTTTTACACAGGTTAAAAAAATCAACTTCCCAACTACATGATAGGAAGTTATAGCTAGACAGTAGTTGGTTTGGAAAAGTTCTAGGGATTTTACTCTACAAAGTCAAGATGAGTCAGCTTTCTCATATGACATCTAGAAGAACTGTGATCTTAGACTGTATTAAGAGAAACATGGTGTCCAGTACAGGAAAGTAATAATTTTGCTTTATTACACTCTGGTTAGACCACATCTAGATAATTGTGTTCAATTCTAGATGACAGATTTTAGGAAGGGCCATATGGACAAGCTGGAGAGTGTCCAGAAGAGAGCGCTGAGGGTGGCTGGGGGCACCAAACTTGTGTCACCTTAACTTCACTTGAAGGAACATAAGAGCATTTACCCTGGAGAAAAGAAGGTTGAAGGGGCCCTACCGTAAAGAAGCATTCATGTGGAAGGAGAAATAGATTTATTCTGCTTGGCCCCAGAAGCAGACGTGGAAGCAATGGGTGGAAGATATAAAGGCAGATTTTAGTTTTATAAGAAAATATTCAATTAGAATGATTCAAACATAGAACAGGCTGCCTTCTGTGGCTTAGTGTTCCCCATCATTGGAGGTCTTCAAGAAAAGGGTGCATCACTACTTCCTAAGGTTGGATTGCTTGGTCTTCAAGTTCCTATGAAAGAAGGAATTCTGGCTGGCAACAGCATCTTTTCTTATTAATAGGCTTCCATAACACATAAATGTGAGTATCTTACGTACATGTTATACTGATCTTTCGCATTTTTTTTTTCTTTCTAGCTGATAGTTGGCCAATGAATTTTGATGACAGCAACGCTCGTAAGGATTGGGGATGGAAACACTACTATGATCTTCCTGAACTGGTGACAACTATGTTCAATTTCTACACCTCTGAGTCCAGAGCTGCTCATGTCAGTTAACCAAAAGTAATGTTTCCTTAAGTCCCCAGGGAATGTGAAAGAGAAATTCTGAAATTAGTTTAATCATGTTATAATCTTTGTAGCTTGTGCATTATTTGGACTGAAAGATTGTAGCTGACTCTTAGATTTAACAATGGCTCACATACTTGGTCAGAGATTTCTCACAGTACTTTTAAAACAGGTTCTTAACCTTTGTGTGTGTCACAGACCCCCCCCCCCTTGTGAGAATCATGTTTTTAAATGCCTACAATAAAATACTTACAAATTAAAAGAAACTAATTATATTGAAATTAAGGTGTATTTTTTTCACATTCAAATTAATAGACTGAAATTTATCCACAAACCTTTTGAAGATCTGTGGATCCCATGTGAAGAACCCCTGCTTTAAATGGAGAAATAATTCTTGGGCTTAAGCTTTTTAACATGTAGAAAAATCTATATTGTTATAGGGGACCACTGAATCTTTCAAGTAAAAATCTTCAAGTGATGAAATAGTTTCTTATTTTGGACTAGAAACATCAAATACTATTAGTTTGAAAGACTTGCAAATAATACACCAATTTAGGTCAGCAGTTTAAAAGCTTTGTAATAATTTTGTGACAAAATAATAAGAATAGGTTAAATTTATATATCACTTTAAGGTTTACATAGTGCAAGTATTATTATCTCTCATTTTAGGAAACTGAGCCTCCAAGAGATTAAATGACTTGTCCATGGTCACACAGCTAGTATAGGGCTTGGAGTAGCTGGCCAACTTAGGTCTCATGATTCTAAAGTCAATAATCCTCTACTATGCTATCCATGCTCCTTTCCAGAAAAAAAAAATGGGAAAAAGAAGATTTGTATTAAATCCATGTTAATTCCATGCAAAAGAGAAGATGGCTTGATCATATGCTACTTTAAAAATTATTTCTAAAACAATTTCATTTTTTGTGGGAGTATATACTGTTAATTTCTATTATCTGAAAAAAAAATCATCCCAGAAGGAAAGTATTTCACTTGTATTATTTTGGTTGCTATTTTCAATTTTGTTGGGAAAAAAAATGCTAGTTAGAGAAGATTTCATTGAATGAATGAAGGAAGAAATAAAAGTGCTTATTATGTGCAGTGCACTGTGGTAAGCGCACTAGGGATGCAGAGAAGTAAGGCAGTCCCTGCTCACAAGAAGCTTATATTCTAATGAGGAGAACAAAATATATGGAAGGTTTCAGAAGAAGCCCAAGGATCCTTAGAATACAGTAACAAAACTGATAGTAATGACTCCTAAAATGTCATTTCCATTGATTAAATCATATAGATTTCTGGTATTGAACCATGGACAGCGCAAAGATTTTGAGAGCAAGAACTTTCTTTTCTGGGTCTTCAGTAGCTGTGGCTGAGGCCCCTGCAGGAGCTTGATGCTTCAGGGTATTGCTTCCAAGGCTCTTGGGTTCAGGGTCCTGAGCTGTTCCCCTCATTCATGTTCTGATAGGAGATGGTGATCAAAATGGTGGTTTGACTTTTCTGGCACACACTGCCTCCTGTGTCTACAAATCAATGCTCAGATCAGTTGACAAGCCTTAAGTACTTGTGATATGTGGGCACTTTGCTAGATACTGGGGATAAGACAAAAATGAAACACATGTAATTCTCAAGGAGCTTCATTCTATTAGGGAAGATAAAACACATGATGCCATAAGTATATGGACGGTGCATTCAGTAATTTAGTGGGAAGGCACTAGCAGCTGTGGGGACCAGGAAAGGTCATACGTACTGCCAAGGTGGTATTTGATTCAATGAGCCAGTGGTCCTGCTCTTTGACAAAGATAAAAGTAAAACATAGGTCATGAGATTTGGAACTGGAAGAAACTTAAAAAATTATCTAGTCTGTTCTTGAATTTTACATTTGAGAAAACTAAGTCTCATGGAAATGAAGAGACTTGCCCAAGGTCACATTCCAACATTCCAATGCAGATCTGCAAATTCAGCACTCTTTATGGATGGCTTTTATTGTAATGGTGCTAGGCCCATGCTGTGACAAATCATATATGTGAGTGTGAAGTAAAATTATTGGATTAACAGAAACAAAAATCTTTAAATTGTCTTAGGTGGTAAGGATTTTTAAACAACAAAAAAAGTGTACTTTCAGTTAGGTTAATTTGAAGAACTTAATATTGAGTTATTCAAATAATCCAAACTTTACCTTCTTGCTTAATTTCCAAACCCTTTAAAAATCTCCTCTCCCCCCCCCCCCCCCAGGTTTCAAAGGATTTCTCATGTGAGAATGATTAGTTTGAAGGAAGAAATTATATTCCTACAGAAGAACCCAGTGTTGGCCCAAAGCTTCATTACTCTCTCCAATGAATCCAGTTTCTAATTCCACTGATTTTAAAAATGAAATCTTTTGAATTGATTCAATATTAGTTTCCATTAGTTTGATTTTTCCAAACCATCTATAGACAAGCCTCTGAGAACCTCCTAAGATTAGATCTTTAACATTTCCTTGGCTTGTAGTGACTTGGTTAATTTTCTTAAAACAATTATATGAATTATCTTCAAGAGTATATAAGACCTGAGCCTGAGAAGACAGTCAACTGGAAACTGCTTACACCACACTCAGACCAGAGAACTTCAGACAGCTGCATAAGATGAGACTTCTGAGCCTTAAACGGACAATTTTATTCACCGTTTAATTTTTCTCTTTTCACCTTTTATCTGTACTGTACAGTCTATTTACTAAAAGGGGACTGCTCCCTTTGATTTGTCAATGAGTAGATCATTTTTCCCCCACATCATTACCCATCATAAGTCCCAAAACCCTTGATCAGTTAGTGATTCATTGAGGAGGCTATGCCTCTTTAGAATCAGATAAGGGAATGTGAAAAACGAGATTCCAAGCTTCCCCCTTCTTCCAAAGTTCAGTTCTTCTGAGGACATTTCTGATAATGAGATTACAGGACTCTCCTTATCCTGATTAGCCCCCACCCAAACTCAAAAGAATTTAAAGTAGGGGAAGCCCATTCATTGTTCTACCCAAGCTTGGGTAGGGACATGTTCTTTTTGTCTAGACAGCCCAGATTGAGGTGGCAGGGGACGTGGTCTGATAGAGAGGGCATTTCCTCTGTCCAGTGACCTCATCCTGTTGAAAAGATATATAAACTGTCCCCCAACCCCCTAAGGGGCTTACTTCCAACATTGCAGCCCCTCCACTCTACTGCCTGTTTAAAAAGAAATAAACACATAGATGGACTAAAAAAAAGTATATAAGTTGAAGCTACTCTCATTTAATAGAAATAATATAAGGCATATTTAAACTCTTATGTCAGATTTAAAACTTAAGTACTTCAAAAAATTATTTTTAATCTAAATGTATCAATGTTAAATATTAAAGGTGTTATCCGTGGTACTTTAAAAAAATAAATTGTACTTTTTTCAAGTTTGTGGTGGCTTAAAACATTCTAGAATGCATACATAAATGTATATTTTTAAGGGCTACTTACATATAAGAACATTTATTTCCCAAAAGAGGAAATAGAACTGTTACCAGTATTTCAAAAAATGGAGCCAAGGTAAACTTCCACTTTTCCAGTTCTTTTGATGGTGGGGAATGGTGGTGTCAGTCCAAAATTATTCACATTTGATATTCTAATTTGTTTTGGCTTATTAGAATATGTATGCTCTGTGAATTCACTTACAAACAAAATAGTGAAGTAATACTGAAGACTCAACTCAAGCTATCCAGTCTCCCAGTCCTTGGGATATGAGCATCTCTTTCAACACACGATATACAAAGTGATCAGTTAAAGCTATGGGATGATTTTTTTTCCCTTTGCTGAGGCACTCACATGTCTGCTTCATATTTTTCTAGAAACTAAAAATGCACAATATTTTTCTCATTTTTACCTCCATGAAGGGAAAATATTAATATTGAAGTCTAAGTAAGTCAATGCAATGCAAAAATGTCATGGAATTGTTAGGACTCTAGGTTTTTCACATAAATCAGCATGCTATATAGTCTTTTCTTAGATGTTTCTGAGGAGGATGGGATCTGGACCCCCAAAAAGGAAAAACTCTGGACTTTCCCACTTGGCCAAATCTCTGGAGTTTGCCTGAGACTAGAATCCCATCAACTGGCCTTTCATTGTGACTACTCCTAATCTCCCAATTCTCTGTTACCCTTAACCTAGCCTAGCCCTCCACTGTTTTACCTTCCCATCCTTAATGCTACCTGGGCTCCATTCTCTGTTGGCCACTTGGTCCAGGGTCTTGTTATTCTATTACCTCACAGTCCCCGCAGACTGGCCACTCCTAGGTCTTTCTGTGTATAAGGTCCATCTTGTCTCCATTAAGGTGCTCAGATTCTTATAATCTAGCCAATAGCTCAGTAATGCTTAGATTCCTTAATAGTCCGCCCATTATGACAGATGTTCTAATAAACCTTGTCTTCAGCTGAAAGAAGGCTTGGGTCAAATTCTTTCGGGCAGGATCCACATGTTGTGATTTTGGGGTCCCAGCACCCCTGAACCTCAACATTTCCATTAAACAAGATATAAAATCTAAATCCAACCAACAGATAGTAAATTTTTATTTAGGGCATAGGGAAAAAAGAGAACATGAAATCTTATACTTTCTCCTCCGCCCTCTGAGAAATTTACTATTTGGAGATTAGATTTCCATTTTTATTTCAATAAATACAGTTTGTGGTAATGTTTTATTTATTAATAAAATGAGGACAATACTCCCTTCTTTAGCCTTCAAAGGACTTTTGGGAAGATCAAATGAGATAATGTATGTGAAAGTGCTTTATGAACTGTTAAGTCTTACGTAAGATAGGGTGGCAATGTATCATTTCTGGGTTTTTAGACCAACTATAGCAATATCTTCATTAAATATATATTTTGAGATCCTTGCTTAATGTTTTATGATAATAAATGACATTTGTATAGTGCTATAAGATTTACAAAACACTTGGCTCAAACCAACCCTGTTGGGTAGATATTTATGTAAATTTTCTTCTGAGAAATATTATTTTAGCTAAATTAAAGATTTTCTGTGGAATGTCAGGTGAAACTGGAATAACAAACCATTTCTTTGCCTTGCTTTCTCCATATGAATTGTAATCATATTTATAAGATATTTCCCAAACAATAGTTTTAGAAATAAGTC